TGCAGGATACTGCCTCAGAAACTCAAGGAGGGGTCACTATGAGTGGAGTCCGACTTGACAGCACGTAACAACAACAACAACTTATTAAATTAGCAGAACAAGTGTGTTTGTAAGGGAGAATACTAAAGTAGCTAGGATTTACATCTTGATCAGGCACCCCCCCAAAATCACTGCCATTGAGTCTATTCTGACTCATAGCAACTCTATAGGACAGAGTAGACCGGTCCCATAGGATTCCCAAGGCTATAAATCTGTATGGAAGCAGAATTTCTTTCTCCTGCGGAGTGGCTGATGGATTTGAACCGCCAAACTTTTGGTCAGCACCCAAATGCTTTACTCAGTGCATTACCAGAGCTCCTTGATCATGCATATAGAAAGTATCAATTCTATAGAATCTATATCCTTATTGCTTTTCTGCAAGAAGCCTTGCTTCGCTCACTCTGAGAATAGTATTACTATTTCTATATGAAAACATGGAGTTGCTGGATGGTGCAAATCCAGTCCTTGGGTTAAGTGCTCAACTATTAGCCAGAAGGTTGAAGGTTAAAACCCACCCAGGGGTGCCTTGGAAGAAAGCCATAAAAACACTGTGGAGCACAGTTCTACTCTGCAACACGTGAGGTCGCCATGCTGCTGTTGTTGATAGGTTCCATTGAGTCAGCTCTGACTCATAGTGACCCTGTGTACAATAGACAATAGAAAGAAATACTGCCCAGTCCTGCTCCAGCCTCACAATCCTTGCTACACTTGAGCCCATCATTGCAGCCAGTGTGTCAATCCATTTCATTAAGGGTCTTCCCCTTGTTTGCTGACCCTCCACTTTACCAAACATGATAATTTTTTTTTTTAAAAAAAGCATCCAAACATTTGAAAAATTTGCTGATTTCGAAGTGCCCCTCCTCCATCCCTGGGCAGATCAGAATAGGATGTTCTTTGGTACCTATCAGGAAAGACTGACTCTGCTCTCTTTGAGTGTACACATAGTTTGCTAAAAAAGCAACACACTCGTAATAAAAATAAAATAAGATCATCTATGCACTTATGTGCCAGGCACTGAACTGAGTATTTACATCATCTAATGTAATCCTCTCAACAACTGTGTGAGGTCAGCATTATTGTTATTATCTCCCTTTTTTAAGCAGATGTGGGAAATCTGAGCTGTAGTTTGATTAAGAATTTTTCCAAAGCTGCAGAGTGGGTTAAGTGTTAAAGTTGGGATATTAATGAAGGTGAGCTGCAGACTCACTTCATGGCCACAATTTTATGTCCCAATGTAACTTCTTTATTTTGCAAGAAGACATCTTGAAAACTCCCCAAGACTTAGGCTGGTGCACTCATGGCTTCTTCGGCAAAGGGAATTGATTTTGCTTGGCTTCTTTCCTTGGTTCCTGAAGTCTGAGACCTTGCTGGGGTCTTCTACACCTTCTTTCACTCACAGCTTCCCCTACCCCCCAGCACACCTGGGACCAGGGTGTCCATTTCTGTGTACTCTAGCCCACAGTGGAACATAGTAAGCAATTCCTTTTTTGATTTCAGTTTTATGGGACTGGAAGTGGCTCCCAGCCTGAGGATTTTGTAATCTGGAATTTGCTCTTTAGAACCTGGTCTGGGGAAAATGCTGGTGGCCCTGAGGAGAAAGAAGCTGTGTTTGGGCCCGTGGGCTTGGCTGGGGGCTGGAGGCAGCGGACTTGTGCCCACAGGGATACAATGGAGCACTCAGTGAGAATGTGGCCTGTGGGACAGGCTGAGCCCAGAGGTCAGGTTATATCCCCTGAAAGAGCTTTGGGTTTAGCCTCTGACTTATGCATGTAGTTCTGTCTCCACTAGCCCTGGCTGGGACCCCATGCATGCCCAAGAATAGCAGGCTTGCAGTTTAGCCCATTCATTTCCAATGGCCTCCTTGACCTCAGTACCGGCTCTAGCACAGCAGCTCTGAGATAGAGGCACATCCTTGAGCCTGGGCTTGGTGGGCACAGTCCTCATGGGGAGGGATGCTTGCCTTGACCATGGGGTGTCTCGGAGTGAGTCAGTGTAGACACTCAGCCCTTGGGGCAGATTTCCCCAGAGGTGATTATTGGCCAAGGCAGAAAAAGCCAGCCAGCCCTCATTACAATGCCAGCCACTGGCAAGGAATTGTGTCTAGGAAGTATTCTCTATAGGGCTAACAGAGTCCAGAAGGGTTAACTCCAAGTTTCCAGCAGTATTTCCCAACCGAGCCTCTGGAGGTTACTAAAGGAGTTCTGTCCAATCAATGGTGAGGGAAGGCAGCTGGCCAGGTATTCCTTACACAGCTGAGAGCAATCATTCTAGCAGTCACCAGGTATGCAAACCTCGCCATGCACCAGGCACTGGGCTCACATCTGTTTCCCCACAAGAGCCCTCTAGGTTTAGCATTACTGTCCCCGTTTTATAGACAGGTCTCAAAGAAGCTAAGAAAGTATCCTATTTATAACTGGTTGGTCCAGGATTCAGCCCAGATCTGCCTATGTTTCTTTCTATTCCATCATTAGGCCTCCTCAGAAGGTGGCACTGACACAACCTTGTAAGTCCCTGGGGCTCTACGTTCAGTAGGGGATGTCAGGGAGCTTCTTTGAAGCTGCTATTTGCTATTAGACTCTGAGCCTGGACTTGGAGCCAGAAGAATTGCGTTCTGATTGTGACTGAGCCACACATTTCTGATGTTCCCTTGCCCAGGGCCTCAGTCTTCTTCCATGAAGGGTCATGGAAGTGCCAAGGATGTTGATACTGGGTGAGCATCCAGAGTAGCAAGCATAGCAATGGCAGGAATTGATTATGTCTATGTGATGACATGAAAATGGAACATGGACCTGAGGAAGAAGGCATTGTATTAGAATGGATGTGATTTCCTTGCATAGACAGTAGAGGTGAATGTCTCTTTTACACAGCAGTCACCATACTGGTAAGAACAGATACCTTCCATCTTGGTCTTATCCCATTTTTGTGGGTAGGTCCACTGTGAAACAACTTGGGTGTTTGATACCCACACAAGAACTGATGCCTCTCTGCAGCTTAGCTGCCTTCTGGAGTTCACTCAGGCTGTCACATCACCATTTGACTGTGTACCCCTCTACACCTCACCTCTTGTATGCTTTTACTGCCTATCCTCAATTCACTATATCCTTGACTCATAGAGGTACATATTTGTTGTATGCTTTAATATCTTTGTAATTGACAAACATCTTGTAAGTGAGGTCTACGTTTGATATGGTGGGGCTGTTTACATTGATGTTGCCATTTAGAATTGATGGAGATCAAGAATTGAGGAAATATGCTAAATCGTACATGTATTCAAACCACCAATGGCCTACAATCAATGTCAAGATGCTAGGGGTACAGAAATAACTAGTATACCAGCCTTCCCTCGAGAGATCACAGTCTAGTGTGTGTTTGTGTATGTGTGTTGGGGGGGAAATTGACTAGAGAAATCGATATTGTAGCTCACTGTGATAAGGGCTCTGAGACTGGGATGGATTCACAGATAAAAAGTAGAGAAGACTTGGGCCCTGGACAAGGTAATATTGGAAACTTGTGTGCAGAGGCAGAAGGAAGATGAGTCAGGGTAGCTGGGAGTGTTTTAACATGAAAGTATATCATGAAGGAGAGTGGAAATACAAGAGATTAGGAATAGGCTGGGGGTGGATTATGGAATAATATTGCAGACAAATTGAATAGTAGGAACAAAGATTCAAAATTGAGAGAACTTGGAGTTAGCACACTCAGCTGCTAACAGAAAGGTTGGAAGTTCAAGTCCACCTTGAGGCACCCTGGAAGAAAGATCTTGCAATCGACTTCTGAAAAGAACAGCTACTGGGAACCCTACAAAATGCAGTCCTACGCTGACATTCAGGAAGTAGCCAAGAGTTGGAATGGATTCATTGGCAACTTATTTTTTTTTTCCCCCAAAGTGTGTTTGGGAGCTTCAAATAGCTCATGGTGGCTGGAGTGGAGGGTGTGTGTGGAGACAAGAGTGTAAAGTGAAGCTGTAGGAACAGGCAGCCTTCAGATCATGGAAGGCACCAAGTGCTATGAAAATGAGTTAAACTTTATTTGGAACCTGATGGTCAGTCACCAAGGGATTGTAAGAGAGATGTAATGCTTGGTTTGTGTTTTGGAACTCCATGTCATCATGATGTGGAAGGCAGATTGACAGAGGATGGTGGCATTGGGTAGCAAGGGGGGTAGAGTCACAGTGATTGGAAGAAGAAGGAAGAGTTATCTTGAATGATGCAGAGAGCCTCATTTTCATAAACAAGGCACGGAGGACCTGGTCATGGAGGACCTGGTCATGGAGGCAGTGGCTTGAGGAAGATCACACCATGGTGCAGTGGGGCATCTAGAGATAGAACCTGCAGGCGCAAGTGACCTTGCCCTTGCCTCAGCCCCATCAAGTGTGCCCTTGTCTCTGGAGAGCCATACGATCAATAGGCAGCCTGACTACATGAATGGATGCCGGGAAAAGCTGGAAAAAAAGAAAAGCTTACCACTTTTCTCTATTTGTTAAAAATATTCATTGATGATACTATATGGTTTGTGTGACAAGGTCATATCCAGCTGTAATGGTGAATTCCAATTTATACTTGCCAAGGTAATTAACCAATCAGAACTTTGTACAATTGGTATAAAGTGCTTGGCAATATATGCCAATATTTTGGGAAAAAATGTGCTGGTATTCATGAGAATCATCACAGTATAAACACACAGTGGATGCATCTAAGTAAGAAACAAGATATCAAGTGTTAAGAATCTCAAGCTAGAAGCAGATAAATTGCCGTGGTGTTGACAGGAGTCACTTAGCAAACAAGTAATAAGTTTGTTGACGGGCTTATCTGCAGGAGGCACTGTGAAGACAGAAGCTGGGCTGAGAAGGTGGAAGGAGCTCTTCTGCTGTATTGGTGATGCTTTGAAATGGGTGAGAGATGGTTCTTGAAATTGTGACCCAAGACTTATGGTTCTCTTCCTCTTCCTGCTTCCCTGAACAGGTGCAGTGCCATACTTACACAGGGTACTGCTGGTGTGTCACCCCTGATGGGAAACCAATCAGTGGCTCTTCTGTGCAGAATAAAACTCCTGTATGTTCAGGTACCGTAAGGAAGGGCTGGAAGAATGAAAAGGGTTGGTAAGAGACCTCTTGGGTAGTCTCCTGCATCTTGTCGGGGAGTACCATTGAAAGGTTGATGTGGTGGTGAGCTCTTTTCCAGTCAGGTAGGATTCCACTGAAACACACTTGTCCTGCAGTAGACTTGGGGGTGAGAGTCAGGAGTATGCCTATGTGTATACATTTATTATTTTGAGTTTAGGTTTCTGGTTTCATGCACTTTTCCCAAGCACTAGCTGCAACCCCTAGAGCAGGGTGGTATATAGATTTCTAGCTTGTGTGCTGACTCTGATTGCTAGTGGTCCTGAGAATGTTTTATGGAGACAAGTTTCAAGACCACCCTGGAGTTCAGCATCAAAGACTGCGGTGATCAATTAGTTATGCCCGTCATGGCCACGGGAAAGGAAAGTGGTGGCCTATGTGCTATATATTTGTCATCTCTGGGCAATGTGGTGTAGAGTAATGGAAGCATTCTAAAAGTGGCCCTTACATATAGCTGATCATTAGCAGTTCCTGGGAAGTGAAAAAGAACCTAAATGTTGATGTTCCTTCTCCCTCTCTGTTTATTCTGATCTCGTAGGTCTGGAGTGAGGTCTGGAGTCCCTGTTTTTATAAAGGTGGTTCTGATGACTAAACAAATGAAGACACCATTCATTATGGTGATCCATGGGGTTGGTCCATAGAAAAAATTAAGTCCTGTGCACTGGAGTCAATTTGATGGGATTGTAAATTACTGATTTACACAAAGCCCACACTTTCCACATCCATTCAGATGGCAAGGCACTCATGAGCAACTCCCTTAATTCCCCATGAGGCTCAGTCTTTATTCAGATAAAAACTATTCCACCCATCAGCTGCTTCATATTTCTCCATATTGGTGTGTATGGATTTTTACTTATTTATTTATTTTTAAGTGCTAAGAAGCTCTGGTGGCATAGTGCCTAAGGCATTTGACTGCTAACCAGAAGGCTGGCAGTTCAAACCTACCAGCCATTCCCGGAAGGAAGGTTGGGCAATCTACTTCCGTAGTGATACCGCCTTGGAAACCCAAGGAGGGGTCGCTGTGAGTCAGATCCGACTCGATGGCAGTGCGTTGTGTTTTTTGTTGTAAGTATAAAACATTGTGCTAAAGATTCCGAAGACTGGTAATCCTACTATACTAACTTTTTTTTTTTTTTTTTCAATATAAAATTTATTCATTCCCTACTGGCCCTGGTGTATAAAGGGAAAAGTAAGTGGAGAGGGCAGTAGGTATCTGCATTAGGAAACCAAGATTTGCAGGCCAAAAAGGAAAGTTTATTTTATTTGTGGTTTACAAAGAAACTGGAAACCTTAATTGAGGTTGGGGTGGGGAGTGGGAGGAATTATCCTTCCTTACAAATGACCTGGAAAGTTTCATTTAAAGCAAACAAATACATGAGAAACAAGTCATGCAGAGTAATATAATTGAATTCTTAACAAACTAATATGTGGAGAAGGAGTATGATATGGACTAAGAGAATATGAATTCTTTCTTTTTTTGGTGGGACCTGCACAGATGACCTTCTGTGGATGTGCTGACAAGGCCTTGCCCATTGGGGGTGGGCTTCAAGGAGAATGCAGGTGCTGCAGAGTCAGGACTCTAGGATGGGGTGCCCATGGCATCCCAACATATGCAAGGCAGAGCATTTGGCCAAACACACACGATACCCCTCTTTGAGGGACAAGCTGTATCTAGAAAATTGTTTCCATTCCTCAGATGATTTGGGCCCACTCAGTACAATTGGGCCAACGATTTTCTACTTAATGCAGACGGAAAATCACTGATTTCCTGCCCCGACCAGCAAGGGATGTCAATCATTGCATTTGCAGCAGGAGGTGGTTTCTGCTCAGCTGGCCCTGTCCACTGGGATATGGCTCACAACATAGGGAAGTGGGGAAGATAAAGGAGTGGAGGTGAGGGGCACTTGTTGTAATGTGGAGTTTGGTAAAAATTTGGTCAAGACCATTTCCAGGGAACCTGGAAACCATTGTTTATTTCAACAGTGCAGGAATATTAGTGACATTGATGTTAAGCAAACCCCACTCAACATGCATGTATGTACTAACTTTGTATATAATGTCCCTGGATGTGTATACAGTGCATATATACATTACCATATGCTCGTAACATCTGGCTTTGCCAACTCTTTGAAGGAAACCAACTGCAATGTATTCTGAATGTCTATGTTTTTGTTTCCTCTCTCATCCAAGGTTCAGTCACTGACAAGCCTTTGAGCCAGGGTAACTCAGGAAGGAAAGGTGAGTAGAGTTCTATGCTTTCCCTAAATGTTTGCTTCTAAAACCAGTCTAAGCAAGAGACAAGATGGAAGGAGCAGAGGTTAAAGGTAAAAGAGCCCCAGACAAAGGCTTCTCCATTCTTACTCTGCATTTCCTCCCAGAAGCCCTGAGGTAAACTCCCAGAATTCCCAAGGGCAGCTTAAACCAAAAAAAGATGATGAAAGTAGGAAATCAAGACCACGTCTATCCCTAGCTCACCTGACTTGGAAACCTATTTGAGATCCCCCTACCACCACCACCACTGATTCTCCTTCATAAATGTCCCAGCACAGCCATACTCTCTTCACTGACTAGGCCAGCCTCATGGGTAGGTGACCTATGCAGTCACAAAGGGCCCCACACTCAGAAGGACCCCATGCTTGGTTAATGCTCTGTTGTTGCTATCTTGTCCATCTTCATAATTCTGTATTTGAACTTGTGTTTTGTAAGTTAAATCTGGTGGAACAATAGAGTGCCTATGTGAACACAAGTGTTGCCAATGCTGGTTGCACCATTCCCATATGCAGGCACAACTCATTTTATTGCACTTTGCATTATTACGCTTTGCAGATATTGCATTTTTTACAAATTGAAGATTTGTGGCAAACCTGCGTCAAGCAGGTTTATTGGTGCCATTTTTCCAACAGCATGTGTTCACTTCATGTCTCCGTGTCACATTTTGGTAATTCTCACAGTATTTCAGACTTTTTTACAATGCTATTGCATACTTAATAGACCACAGCATAGTGTAAACATAACTTTTATATGCACTGGGAAATGAAAAAATTCATATGACTTGCTTTATTGCGATATTTGCTTTATTGCGGTGGTCTGGAGCAGAAGTCATATCTCTGAGGTATGCCTGGAGTCTTTGTGATGTCTGCTACATGATTTCTGCAACATGCTTAAAGTTGTTTCTTTGTGTAATGCAATATTAAAGAGGAACTGAAAAACACCATGCCAAGTCAAGAGATATGCATCACAGAGGAAAGAAGAAAGCTTTGTATTTTAGTACCTTTAATAGTACTTTTTCCTGCTTTTTGAACAAGGGCCCCACGTTTTCATTTCACCCTGGGCCCCACACATGATGTAGCAGGCCCTGACTAAGTACTTTTTATCAGGGAAACCAGAATGAGGAATAGGTCCCTGGCTTCTGCTGACCATAATTTCCAGTATGGAAGACAATTTGAGGCCTAAGATTCACAACTATTTACCTCTAGGCCAACATACACACAGAGGACTGGTATGAATGAAAACAAGTATTAATTTCATTGCATTGAACAAGCACTCTAGAACAGTAGAGGAGACAGGAGACTGTGTGGCTGGGTCTAAGACTTCCCACCTGAATCTAGGCCTTGGGAACTACAAGTAGAAAGTTGAACCTGCTGTATGTAGGTCAGCGTGAGCTTCACAGGCAGTCCTACACACGCCATCTCCTGGCCTCTGCCCCAGGTGCTTACTGTATAGAGATGGGAAGAGGAAGCAAAGTCACTGTGCAGTAGATAAAAGTCCAGGGCCCAGCTGCCCCTGACTGCATTTGCCCCAAGAAGACGTGGAGGTGGATGGAGCATGATGATACCACCACCTCTAGAAAATGTGAATCAGTGGGCCAGATGGACTGTCCCTCTTTCTGCAGTCAAGAGTGTGTTAAATGGTCAAAGAGAAGGAAATAATTGCCTTTCCAGATCCTTCCCGAAACTGATAGTCAAGAGTGTTGGGGTTCTCTCTCAGGTTGGAAAGTGGGAGGAGGGGCATGAAAGTCTGCGAAGATCTGAAGGCGTCAACACTGTGAACGAAGTTTGTCTATCTACCATGAAGTGGGTTGGAAAGGGAGCTGCCTTCAGTCCTGCTTTCTGCAACTGAAGTTTCCAGAACCATTCCCTTTGTTCCTGGGCATGAAGTCTTGGTGGTGAAAAAAAAAAAAAAAAAAACCCAGAAATCATGTAAAACTGACCACCTGGATTTTGCCCACCAAAAGGGCCTGAGTGCCTGAGTGCCTGATGCTGAAAAAACCAGACACACAAAGGCCATCCAAAGGATTTTGCCTATTCCACTGGACAAGGAATTCATTTCCAGGGTGGTATGGCCTTGTGCCTGCCTGTGGAGAACAATGAGACAGACATGTGGTTGTCCTGGGCTCTCACTGATCCAGTGGAGGAGGGCAGGGGGGCTGCAGAAACCAGTTTACTATAAATAGGAGTGAGTACCCTTTGCTCCTGTTTAGCTCCAGAATCAACTTCCAAAGTCAAAGAAGAGTGGAGGGGGTGCTGATTCCTTTAAGGGTGATGCAGGGAACAGAGGGTATGGGAGGGACACAGGGGGCTAGAATCAAGCCTCATCTCAGAGGGATAAATTGTTAGTTCCCTGGTCTTTGGTCCCCTATCCTGGATGGTTTCCTCTTTTCCTGATGGTTCTGTGGAGGCTTTTTCTTTGGTGCAAAGGTCAGGACAAGGCCAGGAATGGGGGGGATGCTGGCGTGCACTCTCCCCTGGAGATTGATCTCTGATTCCCACTGGTCTCTGTTCCCCTTACTCTGGAGGATCAAGTCAGGCACTACACCCTCTTTTCTTTGTCATCTTGGACAGAGGCAGCAAAGAGCAGGCTCAGGCCACCAGCAGGAAAGACCACCTGAAGCCACACCTGTCCAGGAAGCTGGGGTTTGAATGGGAATAGCATGTGAAAGGACATTCGTAATATCCTGTATCCACCCGCTGAGGTACCTCTTTCAGCTGCCACTTAAGAATGGAATGTGTTCTGGAGGGCAGCAGGTGGGAAAGATACAAAAGGCCCTTGTCTGAGCTCGTGCCCACATGTGGGGTCTTCTGGAAGGCATCTCCCTCAAGTGAATGCTCAGCGCTTTGGCCTGCCCCAGGGCCACAGAGAGAAGCTGGGCCTGCCCCTTGTGAAGGTGAGGCCAGAGGTGTGCGTGTGCGAGGAGTGGGAGCAGCAGGGGGAAAATTGGAGCCAACGTTTTCTTTGCGTCTTGCCTTTTTGAATATGCTCTACTGACGCGGCTGGGAGAGATCAGTTCTCTTTGCCTGGAGGGAATGAAAAGGCGTATTGTGCAACAAAGAGTCTGGTTGCTAGCCAGAAATTAGTCCTCTGATGGAGAGGAGGAGAAAGACAGAGAGAAAGGAGGTTGGGGGAAGGAGGGCCAGCGAGATAACCGGAGGAGGGGTGGAGGGAGAGAGGCAATGCAGTGGCAGGTCACAGCCATTTGGCCCAGGACGGGAGGCCTGGGCTGCTGTGGCTTCTGAGCCCACAGGTGTGGAGCCTGAGGGAAGAAATGGGGGAAGGAGGGAGGGCGGCCCTGTTATCTTACCCAGATGCACGTGCTTCAGGGGGGAGGAGGGTCAAAACTTCAGACTATTTACTTAATCCTTGGAATGGCCTTTCCTTGCTCTGTTCTTTGGGCCTCTTGTGTTTAACCGACTCCTTTATGGGCACATGTGTGGTAATTAACACGTGCAATGGAGGGCCAGGGCCATGTGTTTGAGTTTCAAATATCCATTGATCTGGGGCAATCCCATCCTGGCTGCCCCCTCCCCTTCTTCTTCTTTTGCCCTGGCCCTTGAAGGTGGGGGTTTATGTGTGTGTGTGTGTGTGTGTGTGTGTGTGTGTGTTTCATCAATGCTACAGAGGAAATTCTGAATACAGGAAGAAGGACCCAAGTAGTCACTTTAGCTCTGACAATCTGCTGCTAAAACTGTGGCAAGCTACAGAAAGGGAAAGGTACAGATTCATTTTTGGTTTTAAGTGAAGTCATCACGCTGGAAGTGGGTCTCAAGCCAAACGTATTTAGAGATCCTGAATGACCCTGAGCAGCTTTCCCTGGCTGTGTCACGTCCTGTGGATTTTCCTGAAGGGTCTCTTTTTGGGGTCTTGATGCTAATTGATGTGGGTGATCTGGGGAGCTTCCAGGATAACTGATCACAAAGTTGTGGGCTAGGCTTGGGCTTCATGAAGGCTTGTGAGGTGCAGGAGGGAAGTGCTAGCCTCTGATGAGATGATGGGTGATGACGAATGAGTCAGTGAGAGAATATGGGAGTGCACCTGTGAGATGATTTCTGACAGTTATCTGTGGGCTCATTTTCTGAGTACCTGGGACCTCACAGGCTCAGTGGTGAAGCTGTGATAAATGACGAGTTAAAGTGAAGGGCCATCAGGAGCTTTCTCCAGTTTGCTTTGGTCTGGGAGTAAGTGGTAAGGAAAGAGGAAAAAAAAAAAATAAAGACATTAACAAACTGCTTACTTTTTTTTTTTTTTTGCATGGACATCTGTATTTGACAAGCTGGTCTCAGAGAAGGGCAAACCTTTCAAAACCCAACCCACCTTCAATCTGAGGAAAATTTTTATTCCCCCTACTCTATAAGTAGAGAGTGAGCTACGTTTATTTCTCTAGTCTCTTTCTTTGTCTCTATTTTTAGAATCTTTCATGGTGCCTGGTATACAAGTTGGGGCCACCTTGGAGACCTTGTCACTCTAGTAGTTGATCAAGTAGCACTCCCATTTGGGGCAAGGGGTGTGCTTAGGGGAGGACGATGGATGGTGCCCATCCTAGCAGAAAGGGATTGTGCCTCTAGCCTCAGCCTTCAAGGGCACTTGACTGACGTGTGGTTCATTGCCTCGAGCCTGGCTGAGCTGTGTGGAGCTGACTGCCACAGGGCATTCCACACGTGGAGTGTCACCCTTACTCACATGCCTTTAACTTCTTCACAGCTACCTCCTTCATCTCTTCCCATGGCACTGGGAGGGAAGCTGGGTCTGTAGTTGATCTCTGAACATTGCCATCAGATGGCAATGGTCTGATTGCCTACCAGCCTCTGGATTTGAATGGACAAGACACTGACAGACCCTCTCGTGTTGGCCTTCATTCATATTGGTTTTCTCTTACCGAGAAGTGTTCACTCTGACCGTGCCTGAGCAGCTCCAAGCCCAGAAGAAGCGGTTCTTTTGCTCTGTGTGCGTGTTACTATTACTCT